TCCATGAGGAATTAATGAGAAATTAACGAGGAATTAATGAGAAATTCCCGAGGAATTAACGAGGAATCCTGGGCACCAATCAAAGCCCCAAATTAACCACGGGAAAAATGCGGAATTCCAGCGGGAATTCCGGGAATTTTGGGGAATTCCAGACTCACTGCGAGCCTCCACCATCGAGTGCCCAGATTAACCCCGGGAATTTTGGGAATTCCGGGAATTTTGGGAATTCGGGACTCACTGTGGGCCTCCACCAGCTCCAGCTGCATCGAGTACGGCACCAGCGGCTCCGGGAGCTCCGAGAAGAAACTTTTCATGGCTCCGGCCACGGCGTTGACGGTGAAATCCTTCTCGGCCAGGTCCAGCCCGTGGTCTGCGGGGAATGCGGGAGAAATCCAGGGAATTCCGGGGGAATCGGGGCCGGGAAAAACCCAAAATCCGGCACCGGAATCCCCAAAACATTCCAGGGAGAAATCCAGGGAATTCCGGGGGAATCGGGGCCGGGAGAGCCGGGAATGCGGCCCCAAAACATTCCAGGGAGAAATCCAGGGAATTCCGGGGGAATGGGGGCCGGGAAAAACCCAAAATCCGGCACCGGAATCCCCAAAACATTCCAGGGAGAAATCCAGGGAATTCCGGGGGAATCGGGACCGGGAAAAACCCAAAATCCGGCACCAAAAAATTCCAGGGAGAAATCCAGGGAATTCCGTGGGAATTTGGGCCGGGGAAAGACGGGAATGCGGCCCCCAAATCCCCAGGGAATGATGGAAAAGTGCCGGGAATTTGGGGGAGGAAAAGGGGAATTCTGCGAATCCAGCGGGAATTGCGGATTTTCCTGGGATTTTTCTTGGGTTTTCCCAGGATTTTTGGGTAGAATTTGGGGGGATTTGGGGTGGATTTGGATGGATTTTCTTGGATTTTGGGTGATTTTCGGTGGAATTTGGATGGATTTGGGTGGAATTTGGGTGGATCTTGGGGAATTTTGGGTGGATTTTGGGGGATTTTGGGTGGATTTGGGTGGATTTTGGATGGAATTTGGGGGATTTTGGGTGGAATTTGGGGGATTTTGGGGTTACCCTGGTCGAACTGGCGCTGCAGGCTCTCCATCTCCGATTTGTTGCCGCTGACGCGATAAATCCCCTCCGTGCTCAGCCCTGCGGAAAAACGGGAAAAATTCCCGGATTTCACCTTTTCCCGGGAGTTTTTGGGGATTTTTTTGGGGGATTTTTGTTGATTTTTGTGCATTTTTGTTGATTTTTTGGTGGATTTTTTGTTAAAAAACCCTAAAAAAACCCTTAAAAATTCCCCAAAAATTCAAAAAAAAATTCCCAAAATTCCCCAAAATCCCAAAAATTCCCGAAAGTTCCCAGAAATCCCAGGAATTCCGGTGACTGAGCGATGGCCTCGATGTGCTGGATGCAGCGCTCCATGAACCCAAAAAACCCCCAAAAATCCTAAAAAAACCCTCAAAAAATTCCCAAAAAATTCCCAAAAATCCCAAAAAATTCCCCAAAAATTCCTGAAAATTCCCAGAAATCCCTGGAATTCCCATCACTAACTGATGGACTCAATGTACTGAATGCAGCGCTCAATGAACCCAAAAAAACCCCAAAAAAAACCCCAAAAAACCCCTAAAAAATTCCCAAAAAATTCCCAAAAAATTCCCCAAAATTCCTGAAATTCCCAGAAATCCCGTGACTGACCGATGGCCTCGATGTACTGGATGCAGCACTCCATGAACCCAAAAAAACCCCAAAAAAACCCCTAAAAATAAAAAAAAACTCCTTAAAAAATCCCCAAAAATTTCCAAAAAATTCCCAGAAAATTCCCAAAAAATCCCCAAAATTCCCGAAATTCCCAGAAATCCCGTGACTGACCGATGGCCTCGATGTACT